AGCCATTTCGCCCACATCTATTGTGGTCTACCAATGGCTGCGGAGGGCGATCGGTATGGATTGACGTCATGTTTCGGACTAGATGTAAAATAGGTGTGCGCAAAATATGAAGGGTTATCACTCAAATGTTTTGTTAGAGTAATAAAATTCAACAATTACTCGTGTGTACTCTGTGAATAGATTGAACAACGAAAAAAATTTTCACGAATTTGCACGAGTGAAAAACGAAACCGATTTCGAACGTACCGCGCGATGGATGCGACGGATGCACTCTAGTTGGTAATGCACTGATGTGTGATCTGATGGAAGTATTGTTTTGTCCAGTCGCTGATGCGATGGATATGCTCTGTTGTCTTCAGGACGCGCATTAGATTGTTTTAATCCACCGAATTTCAACCAAACGTTGGTTACCGTTACGCGGATGGCTGAAACACTCACAAGAGAGTCTTATGGAGATGAATGGATAAAAAACTTATCAGATTCAAACCTAGAACAGATTATTTCCGAGCTAAAGTAATTTCAACCAAGTTGTCTTATTTTTCAGGGAGAGAACGAAACTTTTCAAATGTGAGAATGAAAGCTACCAAAGGTATATTGGTAGAGTGGACCCACGGATAGAGGATATTACTCGAGGTTGAATCTAAATTACTTGCGTGCAATTTTCAGAGTTGGTACAACAAGTCTCAGATGTGGGAGAAGCGGGTCGTATCAGATCTAAGACCCGGAATGAAGTTGCAGACCGTATATTAAGGTTGAGTTGGGAGCAGAAGGTCACCGTTCTTCAATCCGAACAGGAAGCTTATAAACAGGAGATAATTGCATTAGAGAAATCCTCCGAAGCGCTTCTGCATAACTACAGGGTAGTGGAACCACATCCTGCAGACCTATGTATAGCACACTTTTAGGCCGAACTGGAGGCGTTGGTCGTCATTCAGAAAGAAATCAACAAGTCCTCAAACGAGTTTTCGAAAATTTTCGTCACAACAGGATGTGGCAAGTTAGTAAATCCTATATATTACGAAAAGTTCCTGAAATTCATCCAGGATTCTACGCGGCAGCGGGTGAGTTTTCCTTTGTATATTCTTAGAATTAAGTTTGTTGGGAACTTTTGGAAAGTTCTCTTGAAACACAGTTCACTTTCCTTGGTTAATTCAGCAGCAACGTTGAAACCAGTGTTTTGCCATCGGGTCATCGGTAAGCGCCACCTCAACAACATAGCTCGTGTAGCTGGTGTTGGCGAATCCACAACAAAGCAACGAGAGAACCAATGTTCGTTTCTACATCTAGAGTTCAATGAAAAAAATTTGTAATATGTGTGATAGTTCGGTCATGCGCTGTGAAGCACCGTGTGAACCACCGTTTTGTCGGAGGAACTGTATATATTTCGTGTTCACTTACAAGGAACGTGGCCAAGCTTTTACCAGGCGAAGGGCAATGAAGGGATGGGCACTGTTGATACGACTCGTATTTCAGGATGGGATGTGCGTTCTTTTGTGTGTGATTGATTGGAGACGCTGCATTACTGGCTGCAAGTCAATGTTAGTGCTTTTCCTCTCGCTATCTCGAATCTCTATGGATCGTTAGAAAGAAAAATATGTGTCTTTGTGTTGGGACAATCGTTCTAACTGAAAAACATTTTCGGTGCCCAGCAGCTGTGCCACCTGAACGAAACACGTATGCTGAGATGGTGCCAGATTGCCTCTACCGCATAAAAAGCATAATGTTACACACACATAGTACATGGTTATACTTGTCTGCTATTCAAAAAACCTTTTTTCCATTGTCGAGACAGTGCCTTGAACCAGTGCTAGTTACTCTTGTATAGGTTTCGTAATCAAGATTCACAAAATGCCAATAGAGTAAAGCGGGTTTCGTCCAATGATATGGTACACTGACAATAATAGTCCATAAATTTATAAATTTGAAATTTAGAGTTCTACGTCAAATGCACTGATGTGTGTCAATATTGCACTCAAAATCCAGTGCAAATGTCTTAACTGACGGAGCCAGCGAGATGGAAAACACATGATCGCCGACATAAGAAACCAAGTTTCTTGGAAGATCCTGGCTTATATAAATGAATAGCTGAATGTATCTTCGCAGTAGGAAAAAAATGATTACTTGTCTTCTGAAGGATGAATAGATATTCTGAGGTAAGGCACAGAAATTAAACATTTATGCGCTCGAAAAAATCTGAACTCTGTTAAACGGTTAACCACTGTCTATATTCTCTTTAATGGACAACTCACTTTTCAGATAGATTCAATACGACACTTTAAAGGGTACTTACTGCAAAACGTGCTTAATAAATGACGGGAATGTCCAGAGACATTCAGTCCGTAAAACCAGGATTAGACCCAATAAACACGAAATTGGACGAAATGAAACAACGCAAGTTGAATTCTCTTTGTGTTTGCATTGCTGTTTAACCTGACACGTGCTACTTTGTACAATGAAACAGTCAATCGATCTGAGCTGAGTGTGTGAGCAGCGTCAAATCCGTAGAGTAGCGCGCCATCAGCTATCCCAGTTCTACTGACATGCATTATACTTTTTTTCAAAGCAATCTAAGTTTGGAAGACTGAAATGTGACCAATCAAACTTGCAGTTCTTCCCGACGTTCCAGTTATCGTTAGCTCAAAATATTTTTGTTCCTTTATTCAATTACAAGGACACGATCGTGGACAAACTGCGTCTAAAGAACTCTGCCTTGCACACCCAGCTACGAAAATCCCGAGAGCAACTGAGGCAAAAGGAAGAACTTGGGGAGGTTCTCCGTCCCGTCGATTTTGAGCAGCTGAAAATAGACAACTCCGAGTGTCTCAGGAAAATCGATGAACGCAATCAAGAAATACAACGACTCAAGCTTGTCGCAGGCAAGACACTGCAGGTGTTAAACGCATATAAGGTAGGCTTCCCTCAAAATGGGAAACAATGTGTTCTGCCTCGTACCTGATAGGTTCAGTTGACGCAAGCCATCAAAGAAAAAGAGAGGATTAAACTAGAGATAGCTCAGAGGCTTGATATCAAACGAAGAGCACAAAGCGAAATGGTGGCCGTAAAAAAAGTAAGTTGTTTCGTTCCATTACCAAGAGAACTCGTGAACGGAAATGCGTTTGTAAGTTCTCCTTGAACAGCTTTCTTGAAACGCGTGGAAAGCCTATTCCACTGAAAGTTTTTAGAAGGCCTTCATGTGCACTTTTAAGCGGATGTGGATAGTGGAAATGTCAAGGTTATAAATAATCTCATAATTGAATGCTGAATTTTTCCCCCAGACTAAGGCAGCGTAGGCTCACCAGGTAACCGTAATATTTTTGGAGGCCTATGTCGGAAGTACTCACCAACCTGCTTGAAAAATGCTGTTTACTACCGCGCGCTTATAAACGCATAGGCAATAAAGCTGTCCAGAACATAACAGTCGATCCCGGAATTTGACAAAAATCTGGAAAACTTCCATAAAGCGCATCTGAATAGTTGGCACGTCGTATTTTTGTTCCTCTAGGTACTGGTTTCATATAGTCACTCTGTGAGTTTTACTCTATGCACGCTATTCCACTTTAGTGAAAAACAGGCCACTTTACCTTTTTGTCAGGCTACCCGGTTTGTTTATACGTCTGAGGGTGAGCGTTTGCATTCAATCATCACTGAAACTTCATCGAATATGGATCCAACAGCGACAGTTCAAGTGGTAGAATGCATGGACTGTGTGATGGCGTTAAGTTCGCTGAACACACTGTTTTAAGAACAAGTGAACAAGTGTTTCTTGATGTCAAACATGAGTTAGCCTGGCGTTAGCTGGTGTCTGATAGTAGTCTAGTAGGGTACGACGCACCATGATGCTCCATCCCCCAGTCATTTTCTATGTAACGTTCCCCCTACTCTGTCACCCTAGGAGTTGAAGGAAGAGACAAAAGCGAATAAGGAATTTAAAGAACACACGTTATCCTACAATGTACCCTCTGTCATCACTCTTATGAAGCTCAAAAGTGAAGAGCGTGAAATCGTCAGGAAGGAGTCGATACACAAACGGAAATTGCATCTCGCACAAGTGAGTTTCCAATTCTGATGATCTTTCTGGTAACGCCCTTCTTTCAGAGATGTAAGATTGTTGGAGGCTACCACAAAAAACAAGCGGTTTTTCGAATTGGTTAATGTGGTTCGATAGAAAGTGGGTGTTCACTATCGGTATTGCCTCTGGCTGCTATTGGCTATACTGATCACGATGATCATGATCTGCAATATGGCCAGTGCCGATGGGGCTTCACGGTGGTCCTGTGATGTTGCCAGACAATCTGTAAACTACTGTTACCCTATTATGTGCTGTTCTCGACATAGATATAGCTATATTCGGAACACTGAAAATCCTTAACGAGCAACACCGGATATCCGATCTTACATGGAATAACATCACATTTGAGCGATTTTCCATTTTACTAGCCGTCTTTGACGGAATCCATAGAGCATATACGTTATTCCAGGATGTATCTATCGAAAGATCAAAAAATTATAACTCGGAAGCATTACCCACAATTGCAGACATCATTGCTCTACTGCTGCATTACCATAGTCTATCCCCAGCAATATACAATGCCAAAACAATGGAACACACAGACTCAGGGTGGTTGTTGGGCGAGAAGGCGGCGTTGACACGATGTGTCCTATGACTTGTGCGTCTACCTGGAAGATAAGTCATGCTTAACGAGTTTATGCGAGCACCTTAGAAGAATCCAACTACATCCAATGTGGTTACCGAATCTAATTCGACAGTTTGATGACTACCTATTCGCTTGTCTATTCCACCTGCGTGCTTTTAAATTCCCACTTACTTCATCCACGTCACCAACCTTTCCTAAAGAGACAAAGATGATTGCATGGCACGCCCATCCAAATTTGTCTTGTCTGTTCGACCTATTCTGACCTGTTCCATTATGATGCTCTGAAGGCAGCACCACCAGTCAGAATCATGAGGGTGATCTTCGATAAGATAACTGGCAACCCACACAACGGAGTTACTATTCCACTCATAGTTGTCTGTTGTGCGGATTTTTACACCGCGTTGGACCAGGTAACCATAGACTTGCCTACTTGCATAATTGAGGTTTGTTGTACACATTTGCCCGCTTGTCGGTAAATGGCACTACGGATTCCCAGACTTAAGTCATCCTTTTGACATTCAGGATCTTCCAGCCTGTGAGTGACTCAAAGTGCCCTCCTACTTCACTGATGACAATTGTACTTCATGTGAAACAATTTGCGGACTGGTGGTGATAATTCGATACCCACGGGTACGCTCTGCTCCTCATGTTCTATTCAGGGTAACCAGCTTTCGATTGGAGAGGAAAGTAACCAGACGGTTATGAAGTGAATGGGTACTTTCCAAGATGATATCTTAGTAACTTCTGTGAATGGATGGAGGGCAGTGTTTTTGCCAACCAATGATACTGGTTTCCCTGCTCTAAAGCTGCTAGTTCTGAATGCTCACCAGGCGCCTAGAACTACAGTGGACATCAGAGTGCACACGGTAGGTTATCACTAGGTCTGTCACTTCAGATCAGTTGAAAATCAAGTGAGAAAAGAAATCATGTGGGAACGGACCCGAAACGTCAGGTGTTTTCCGTGTTACCGATACAGTTAATCAGTTAGAATAACATAGCCCTCCGATGGTCACTTTGGGTGGCGTATTAAATATCACCAACTCACATAAAATCCCTATGTTCCGTCTTCAGAATCATGCGACGAAAAAGTATATTTGAAATCTAATATATGTGTCCTGAGTAATCTTTGCTCTCCAACACAGATGGCACTAGCCCGACACAAGAAAATATGGTTGCGAATTCGACACTCCACAGCGGACGCCATAGCATGAACCATAATTTCAACAATCCCACTGCTTCATCACATTATTCATCCGTTTTGATAGAAATTCCGTCAGACATGATTGACGTATAATTTCGTATACCTGATTTCCATGTCATTGCTTGGTATTGTAGAATAAACTTCACGTCTTTTGTGTATGGATTTCTCCCGCCTGTAAATTAGACGACCTTGAATATGCCCCGTGGGTTGTTAACAAAAGGCGAGAAATAGAAGGTAGGGAACACCACGCAGGCCACCTTTTTCTTTCTACTTTACTCTGTCTCAATCAACTTAGGACATTAACGTTTGAAAAAAAACTACAGCTCAGAACAGTCGGCCACCCAGTCGACGATTGGTTCAGGTTTCAGTTACTCAGAAAAGAAAATACGTTATTTTCAACCAGTTTAAAAACGCTTGGAACCGATTAAGTAATCTTTTTCGGAAAGGTTTGGTAATAATCGGTAGACTTATTGCTGGGCAACGTCTCGCTTTTTACACAAAGCCTTCGTCAGGCCAAGTGACTAGGTTACGAGGTTGGTCAAGAGTTAAGGTGGAAGGAGAACCATCCCTAAGACAGGTGCCCTGGAGGCAACTAAGAGGTTGTTACTGGCAGATACGACACTTGAGAAACGGACACAGCTCTCGCTGGATGAAATAGTTGAGGGCATAAGTTTGAATCTTGGTCAGTTTGTTTTTGACACAACTGTCTACTCACAAGAACAAGATTTTGACACGAGATCTCCAACACCCCTAGCTTTAGCTAATATTTATATGGAAGAATTTGAACAAATATCAAGGCCGGATATCATTGTCCATTGAAAGTTTTTTGGCATTATGTTGACGACACGTTTGTCGTAGTCAAACGAGATAACGTGAACAGCTTCCACGACTATCTCAATAGCTTAAACCCACAAATCAAGTTTAGCATGGAGATAGAGTCCACCGAGGGCACATCGCCCTTTCTGGACTGTATAACACAAGTGGTGAAAAATTAAACTATCTTCCAGGAACCAGCAGACAGGAACTGTCTTAAACTACTCATCAGCCCACTGAAAGCCTGTGTACGCCAGTATTGTTTCGTCGATGTTAAGCCGAATCAGAGCGCTGTGCACAGAAGAGATCGACTGAACGGTAGCTCAGATCGAGATTGCCAACAAACTCCAAGAAATAGAATACCCAGTGGGTTTGATCAGGCGTCAAGTAAGAAGGACATTGGCTCTGGTATCTAGACCCAGTAATGAATGGATTGGAGCAGCAATTACTCCATATAAGACAGGAACTCCGGAGGTTATTCGGAGGCTGCTGAACTAAGCCAATATTCGAGTATCTTTCCGTAAGGGGAAAACGCTCCGCTCAGTCTTGGTGCAATTGTAATACCCCCTGGTTGAAAGGACTAGGGACTGCGTGTATAAAATTAACTGCAACCATTGCACCAAGGTTTACATAGGACAAACCGCCAGGGAAGACTGCGTGTTAAAATTAACTGCAACCATTGCACCAAGGTTTACATAGGACAAACCGCCAGGGAATTGCACACCAGAATTGGTGAGCATAAAAGGAAAGTAGAGAAACCACCAAGGAATGCGAATACCAAATGCGATGGCGGTAGATTAGACACGGGACATAGAATAGATCGGGATATTGCGGAAGTCTTAAGACAGGGACTGCAATTCATACTAGTGTCTGATAGCCGAGGCGGTGGAAATCACCACACATCGCAACGTGAACGGAATTGAGGGTGTGAAACTGGTGAGCGTATGGAAAGTGGTCTTAGATAAGTGTTGTTCGTGCGTGTCAATGCAGGTGGAATCATTAGCAGGTTAGAGGGTAGAAATCCCAACCCGACCAAAGGCCACACAATCCCTCTTCATTACACAACTATCGTAACACTAGTTCATGAGGAATCTTCACGTAAACAGAACCGGAAGAACAAGACCTTAAGTTGGACCCGAATCCAAGTAGGTTCCCCATCGGCCTAACACTTGGTCACCCACGCTAACACACAAAATCCCTCAGCCGACGCTTAACAGAGATTTAACTTGACTTAGCTGATTGGTTCTACTTCCGTCTTAAATCTCGACCAACCTCATAACCTAGTCACTTGGCCTGTGAAAAGCGAAACGTTGCTCCGCAATAAATCTACCGATTGTTACCAAACTTTTCCGAAAAAACACATCATTTTGTGTGCGTAGAGGGCTATCACAGATAGTCCTCAATAGGTGGAAAAACATTCCGTGGTACGTAAAATGCTTTTTTATAATCGTTAAGAGATAGTGTTATGGTAATCTCTTGACCACTTGTCCGCCATCCTGAGCATCGTGTTCCCGCTGGGTAAAAGCATTGCCATTCCGTTTTTTCCATCTTCGAAGATTCGTGCAATCCACTTTCGCCCTACTCAAGTAAGGAACAAAATCCACCAGTGAGTGATACACCAGAGAATGCTATATTTATGGCTTAACGCGTCACTAAGTTGAGCCTCTGAACGTCAATTTCGTCCAGCCAACGTTTCGGGCAACCGGATTCTCCGATTTGCCTAATGTTAAAAGACCAAACTCAGCTACCTATTTAGGTAGATAGCCGTTGACATACTTCGCCACTCACCTATGATAACAATACGGAGTGTCGATTCCTTTTAAAACGTACACAACTTCCTTAATACCAGCCCAAGCGAACCTCCAGTAGAAGCGCAAAACAATCACTTTACTTTTTTTACAAAAAGTAATAAAAATACAGCATGAAAGCATGAGAAGAGTGTTAAGACGAAAGGTGTAACTGTAAGGGGGGAACAATACAAGGCAAAACTTTGCTTTGAAAACCATCGGAAACCTAGGCGTACGAAACCGTTGTTGGGGCTGAGTGATACTGGGTTGTTGGCCACATCCGGGGAGGGAGCTAAGATTATCACAGATTGACGTTCGATGAATTTGCTTACCAATGGGACCTGCAATAAAGAATAAAAATATAGGCGAGATCAGAGCCGTAAAGGCAAAAAAACACCCAAACTATAAGAAAAACCTGACGGGCAGACTAAAACACTAGGAAAAGACATGTAAAAACATAACCATAGTCGGCGTTTACAGATAAAGACCACTATTTCAATCGAGCTCGTTTTTACACAACCGAGAAATAGGGGATACCGAATACGTTCAAAATTCTTCACTATGTGGGCGTCAGCTGCACCACAGAACGGTAGTCAAAAGAACAGTAGAGAAACCACCAAGGAATGCGAATACCAAATGCGATGGCGGTAGATTAGACACGGGACATAGAATAGATCGGGATATTGCGGAAGTCTTAAGACAGGGACTGCAATTCATACTAGTGTCTGATAGCCGAGGCGGTGGAAATCACCACACATCGCAACGTGAACGGAATTGAGGGTGTGAAACTGGTGAGCGTATGGAAAGTGGTCTTAGATAAGTGTTGTTCGTGCGTGTCAATGCAGGTGGAATCATTAGCAGGTTAGAGGGTAGAAATCCCAACCCGACCAAAGGCCACACAATCCCTCTTCATTACACAACTATCGTAACACTAGTTCATGAGGAATCTTCACGTAAACAGAACCGGAAGAACAAGACCTTAAGTTGGACCCGAATCCAAGTAGGTTCCCCATCGGCCTAACACTTGGTCACCCACGCTAACACACAAAATCCCTCAGCCGACGCTTAACAGAGATTTAACTTGACTTAGCTGATTGGTTCTACTTCCGTCTTAAATCTCGACCAACCTCATAACCTAGTCACTTGGCCTGTGAAAAGCGAAACGTTGCTCCGCAATAAATCTACCGATTGTTACCAAACTTTTCCGAAAAAACACATCATTTTGTGTGCGTAGAGGGCTATCACAGATAGTCCTCAATAGGTGGAAAAACATTCCGTGGTACGTAAAATGCTTTTTTATAATCGTTAAAAAGCGAAAGCTCCGCAATAAATCTACCGATTGTTACCAAACTTTTCCGAAAAAACACATCATTTTGTGTGCGTAGAGGGCTATCACAGATAGTCCTCAATAGGTGGAAAAACATTCCGTGGTACGTAAAATGCTTTTTTATAATCGTTAAGAGATAGTGTTATGGTAATCTCTTGACCACTTGTCCGCCATCCTGAGCATCGTGTTCCCGCTGGGTAAAAGCATTGCCATTCCGTTTTTTCCATCTTCGAAGATTCGTGCAATCCACTTTCGCCCTACTCAAGTAAGGAACAAAATCCACCAGTGAGTGATACACCAGAGAATGCTATATTTATGGCTTAACGCGTCACTAAGTTGAGCCTCTGAACGTCAATTTCGTCCAGCCAACGTTTCGGGCAACCGGATTCTCCGATTTGCCTAATGTTAAAAGACCAAACTCAGCTACCTATTTAGGTAGATAGCCGTTGACATACTTCGCCACTCACCTATGATAACAATACGGAGTGTCGATTCCTTTTAAAACGTACACAACTTCCTTAATACCAGCCCAAGCGAACCTCCAGTAGAAGCGCAAAACAATCACTTTACTTTTTTTACAAAAAGTAATAAAAATACAGCATGAAAGCATGAGAAGAGTGTTAAGACGAAAGGTGTAACTGTAAGGGGGGAACAATACAAGGCAAAACTTTGCTTTGAAAACCATCGGAAACCTAGGCGTACGAAACCGTTGTTGGGGCTGAGTGATACTGGGTTGTTGGCCACATCCGGGGAGGGAGCTAAGATTATCACAGATTGACGTTCGATGAATTTGCTTACCAATGGGACCTGCAATAAAGAATAAAAATATAGGCGAGATCAGAGCCGTAAAGGCAAAAAAACACCCAAACTATAAGAAAAACCTGACGGGCAGACTAAAACACTAGGAAAAGACATGTAAAAACATAACCATAGTCGGCGTTTACAGATAAAGACCACTATTTCAATCGAGCTCGTTTTTACACAACCGAGAAATAGGGGATACCGAATACGTTCAAAATTCTTCACTATGTGGGCGTCAGCTGCACCACAGAACGGTAGTCAAAAGAACAACTGAAAAAAAACATCCTCTATCTTTCATGTAGACTCAAGAAAACCTATCTGTGAGTAGGGAGTATAGTGTAGGCGTTTATCACACTTGACACTTCTTGCCCATCCATTCCTTCACACGCAGCCAGTAAATGTCACGAAGACAAGTGAAGGTACATCAATAGGAATGGTGAATAACCGAAACAAAAGTGCTCCCCTTGAGTGTGGTACACTTCTTAGCATAATTTCGACGTGTCGTCGCGCTTCCAGCGTCTGGGGTGCTGTACTTGGGCGAGAAGATTGTGGAATTTGCAAACACGTGGAATCAGAAAAAGAGGGACTGATGAAACAGAAGACTGGATGTGAAATCGGCAAGTGAATGAATCAACACAACAGAGGAAGACTAATTGCGGACGTGTCACACGGGACTTCTAATTAGCGATTCAGTACGCGAATAAACTATCCTCAGACATGATGATCCTCAGAAATGATGTGATCACCATAGGACTTACTTCGGGCAACAATCTGGAACTCCGAATTATTGAGGCACGTCAGTATCAAAGACAACGCATACAACAGATAACAATAACATCGGCAATCCAACAAAGTCGAAGGCAAAGGGAGTCTCGGAGTGCAGTTTGAAGGCCAGATGGATACCAAATCCGTTCCATCAGCGGAAGTGCTAGAAAAAGACACCAGTAGATGAGGGCTTTAGCCGTGGAAGTACAGAAGGCAAATAATACAGTGGTATAGTCTATAAAACATGAAGCTATCTGTGAAGCATATCTTTATTGCAATTCAAGCCCAGTGATAAACAGTGTTGACGAAGTAAGTGTACTAATTGGTTCCTCTTCAGCAATGAAGTTGCGACCGCAAGAAGCCGATGAGCGCCATTCAAACGCAGATTCTACAGGATTAGTTATTCAGAGGAGAAACGTTGAGGACTTCCTCTCACATAGGTATTATGAACAACAGCACAAGGAAATTCTAGAACACTAGTGATTCGTACTGTAAAGGTCACCTGTTTCATTATCCACCGATAAAAGTGCATCACAGATCGTGCAGTGGTTAATTGTGATTAACCACAGTTCCGACCAAAAGCCAATGCCACAAATTAGTGTCTGAATAAGGTGGTAGACTGAGGAAGGTTAAAGGTGTGGTATCCTGGGAGAAGGAAGTTGATAGCTCAGAGGTATTGGCTCATGAAAGGGACCAGAAATTAGCTTATAAAGTGCCTCAAGACCTGACGTATGAAAAATATTGCAAACAGTAAAAGCGATCGTCTCCCTACGAATGGAAGACACATTCATCTGATAATGGTGAAAATTCGATTTAATCCAATTTATTAATTCCTTTACTTGTTGCGCCAACTTTGGAGGGCCATGTACTCCAAGCTTCGAACGGCGTTTGTCTACACACGAAGACAGCATCAGTTGTAAGGTGGAGAAGTTGGCTGTTGCACGCTCCTCGTCTTTCACCGGTTCTGTTGAAATCAAAGGCAGTAGTGATGCAACCTCCAGTCCAGAGGCTCGAGTCTTCTCAGCAGAAGATTTAGCGCTATCTATATGTCCAGCCAAGCCTGGCTGTATTAAGGGGACGTATAAATGTGAAGTTGTGTTCAAAGCGTGGGTGATCGAGATGGAAAGACGTTGGTGACACATTTCCCAGTCGAATGGGTCTACATAGGCCTCCAGTTTGGACAATAAGTCGCTGGATTTGCGCCTGATAGTGGAAGCTAGCTCTTTGCTGGTAGCATTTTCCTCCAACGACTGAAACATCAATAATGACAGAAAAAACATTTAGCTGTGGCTGGCTCCCGCGCAACTGGATGGAAGCATCACGGGTGAGATACTGAAAGGTTTCCCAAGCCTAGGCAGAAGCATTCGAAACACATATTCTAGTCAGTAAGTTCGTGCATCAACTTCTGGTATACCTCGACTTCATGACATGAAACAAGACTTTCGACACAAACCTCAACGGGGAGGAGGCCCCAAACCACCAACTCGGGGGCATACTAGCAGTAGATGAGACTGCTCCAAAAAAGCATATCAAACAGGAAAATGAGTAGAGAAGTGACGTCTGATGGATTTCGATCTATTCGCTGGTGATTTAGGACTTATTAAGTTGATAAACCAAATATTCGATTGAAAATGGCGGCCAAATGGAGTGTACTGTCACTAGGAAAAGTGGGTCCTGGCTACCGGTAGTGACACTTTGTTGACAGTTCACCACACTGTAAATTAAATAGAGAGTCCATTAGCTGAGACGGTCTAACGTTCTGCTGTACGAAGCAGCCATACAAACACTTACCCGTGAGCGAGGCATTCCACTTTGGGTGGTTGGCCAAATGAGTAGCTGCATCAAGTAGCGAATGTCGAAAATAAGTTGGAGCGCGATCGGCTGCAGTACAGATGACAAACAGGAATCCACCACGGGATCTTTTCCATTGGTTAATGGTCCACTCGATTCCTCAATGGACCTGGAGCTCGAAATGGTGGGAAGATGTTCGACAAGCTTGACGTACATATTCAAAAGGTTGGCGCCAATTCGGAGACAAATTTCCCGGTTCAAGGACGGACTGCATCACATGAGAAATAGGATAATTAAAAAGTACTAAATAAGCAACAACACCAGTGGTTTCAAGAGAACCTTTTGATAAAATGCGAACGCGAATAATACTGAATTAGAGTAGGGTGATAGGCCCCAAAACCTTCCCTTCCAAAAAGTAGTTGTCTGTTAATAGCGGACAGATGTCCTGTGTGTACTTTCTAGAAATATCCAAAAAACGAAATCTGAGTCAGTTAGCCGTGATAGCACGGGACTCAAAACCGTGCACATAAGTAAAGTGAGAAATCAGTTCCGGCGTATTTTTGGGCGTATGTGTGAGACCATTAAACCGAGTCGACGCATGAGATTTTCGTACAAGAGCTACTGCCTGGACCATCTTAAGTTCCGGAGACTACCCATACAGCCGATGAAAGAAAAATATTCCGTTATCATGAATACCGCCGCAACAGAAATAAAGGGCAGCGTGGGTACAACATGTGACTCAATTAGATCTCACGCTATCACCAGCTTAATTTGGAAATTCGGACTTACCTCAACAGCGTGTCACTGACGTGCAACGTCACGAGAACTCAAACATTCAATTACACAAATGACAACAGTTCTAAGCGTTATTACCAAACTAACAGGATACAAATAAAAAACACGATGACCGAATCAGGACCAATGTATATGAGGTGAATAGACTGTCTTAAGCAGAATGAATGGTAGAGCAGTTCTGATTATCGAGAAGCTTTCCCATCAGTCCCTCAAATGACTTTTTCAATTCAGAGAGGAGCCAAAACGAACTACCTCTGACGGTTTTCCATATATATATATATATATATATATATATATATATATATATATAACTAAACCTGAGTTGAGTTTACTGATAATGGAGGCTTAGGCATCAACAGTCACATCCCACAACATACAGTGATACTAGGTGATTGTCTACACTCCACCTTGGTGAATTTGTTTTTATCGACGGTAAGCTTCATCAGCTGTGTCTAACATCCGTGTGAAAACGATGAATCCGAAATAAGTTAATTAGAATGCTGCAACAAGGAATGTCAATCGGAATTAATTAAAAACAACCAGTATATGAGATGGTAACACAAGAGGACTATGCACAACGGAATCCGAAGGTACACCTGCGACCCAGGTAGTCGTTTTAGTCGAGAGGCTCGCACTCGTAATAACAATGATTGGCTGACGCAAGGTAGAATCAGATCTCAACTCACAAGAACCAATGTGCTTAGTGCCATATGTTGAATTCCACGGCATTGGCTGGTACGTCAACATACTGTATGGAATTGTGACATTAGCCAGGGACGATATTGCTGTGACTGCAGGACAACACATATCACTTCATTTGCTCTGACAGGAGTTCACAGTAGTGTACATCTTAAGACAAATATACTCCGACTAAGTGTGGCAATCACCACGGTCCTAGCTTGACTCTCTGTGTCATTTATTAAGCGTCGTCTTACGAGAGCACGTGAAGATCTGAGCGCTGAAAACTAAGCATGACTCAGTAACGGAAAGGATTGTGTGGACCATGTATTCACACTCCGACAAGCGTGTGCGTATAGGCGTCATACAAACCTGTTGTCCCTTAACCACAACAGCGTCTGATTCTGCTCATCCATTCGTTCCTCTTAACAAGCTTGTGCAAATGAGAAGTTGGCGAAATCATGTGCCGTTTGTATTCACATACGGGGTGCGTGAGTGTATTGGAAGCTCACCAAAAGCTTTCATACATGCAATGATATCCGACAAGGGTGCACATACTGCTCAATTCTATTTAATTCCTTCATTGACGAGGTAAAGAGAACTCTGGAGGTCTTCCAAAACCTTGGTGCTCAGATCTGTCCAAGCAGGAACCATACGGACCTAGAACATACAGACATCATTCTCATTTTTGAAAACCAGCGGGAAGTGCAAGCATTGCTTGAAAAACTAACCAAGATCATTCAGTCATTCGGTATGTTCTTCTCGCCCACAGTGTAAAGTAATGCTACAGGACACACGGTCTTTCAACATGCCTGTAAGAATCCAGGGAGTGATACCGGAAGTTGTGGAACACCACAGTAACACGGCAGTGACAAACGAAGTAACCACACGAATTTCAGAGGCAAAGACTGCGTTCACAAATTATCACGATTATCATGTTCACCAATTGCGATGCCGCGATTGGTGGCATCGAAAATGCATCTCACTGGGTCACAAGGGACGTGTACACTAGAATATGGTGCGGCTGCAAGAATTGGCCACTTAGGGCAGATGATCTGAGATACCTTCAGGCCCTTGATCACTGACGTCTCAGGAATATGGGTGGAATCACCTGCAACCATAGAATCTGGAATATGATCAGGAAATGAGTGTCCTGTAAGGTGGGAGTACTTCACTCCTCACTGCAAACCAACAAAACTGGGCTATGTACTACATATTTCAAGTTAGTGCATGCCGAGGAAAGCGTCGTTTTCCGTGTCCTATTGATCACAGGCGACAGGAAAAGAAATGACAGAATGGAACGATAGATATTAGGAAATCTGGGCGGTGTTTACATTCCAGGATGGAAGCTGAAACCGTTTCGTACTTGAATGAAAGTACCGAAATATACAGCGGAGTTTATGCCCTCATTTAGATTGTCTGACTGTGTTGGAAGCAAGGGTGCCTCGGATGTATGTGCCACTCTAGCGTCATGTTTCCTTCCCTTGTTATCCGATGTTGCTGCCAATGAGGACGATAACTCCGTGTGCTGCCTCTTCCAACCTCTCTACACATCCTTTCTCCGAAACCGCTTGTCCAACAACATCTCCAGCACGATGTGCTGATCGCTGAGCTGCTGAACTAATTTAGGCAAACTTTGTACGGCTGCTTCTTGAGCACTCACGCTACTGCATGTTGTGCGCACACGTCTATTGTCACATTAGATCGATTGAGGTTTTCACAGTTATACTGCTTATACATCACCTATGATGACGATTCTAAGCTTCCATTGCATACAGCTGTGAGACAGCTGAGAGTCTCAATTTTGTCTGGATGTGTGTTCATTATCCGTGGTTAGATGTGTGACACCGCGGTTGATTGAAAGTAATGAAGATTCTCCTCCTATCATTCCGGGTGTAACTCAATTGGAATTTCATAGGTCCACGAATTAGTGATAGTACCAGATCACGTCGGCAATAACGATGTAACTGAATCACGACTGACGGATTGAGCACAGTCTGTGTTGATATCACTGGTTGAAGAAGATCCAGAGACAAGCAATAATAACTTATCAGCGAACCACAAAACATCTGATCGTCACAGTTATCCACGTTTGCAGCCGTCGCCTTCATAAATAGGCGCCTCGCGAGGAGGAAAATTAAGGGTCAGAAACGTCAACAATTGTGGTGGTCATGCATCATAAATGATGCACCGCACCACCACAGCGAATCCCCGAGTAGCGAAGCAACAGACCGTTGCATCAGCAAGTTACCATCTTTTCGTCGGCACTCACACCGAAATGAAGGAAGCTGTCACCTTTAGCGTCTAGATTTTCTCTTGCTGCCTTCCTTACTGCTGCATCGTGGATGGTCGTACATTGGTTACGCCGGAACTGAGACTGTCTGATTACGCTGTAAGAATACAGAGAACCCGGGACACGGCTGTGCTGTCAGGACAAACATACAGGGCTTCTGCGTTAGTATATGATATGGCTAAATGGCCAATAATGGTCATTCCATTGTTCATTCTCTCCAGCCAATGACGACATTCCTGTCGCAACCAACTTCGGTGGTCGCATGCGGCTAAACCGTACTCGGGAAGCTCCACCAACGTGCCTGTTATCTGGAACCCGTGGTACTGATGATGACCTTGGGGCGCAGTTTTGTGCACATGTACTTTTCGTGTCTAGACGCACCGTGACACGCGACCTACAGTTGGAATAAACCACTAAAAGCCGACATAAGCAGCAGGTCATGCAGAACAAGGACACACGATTAGAAAAAAAACTCACACTGGGACCTTATGAACAAGTAGTTGTCCTATTGTCCGAACCGTAGAGAGTAACAACTGGTGAAGCGGTAGACTAACTGAGGATGGTACCCGAAGAATGGCCACTGCATTCTCATCCATTTCACACTCGGCAGAACCTGGCTCCAGACGAATATCATCGAATGGCTGCAACATAAGAAGGTGAAAAAACACTTGCAGCTGCTCGTGTGTGGGGATATGAATTAAATTTTTACCTCAGGATGGGATTGTGAACCGAGATGCATTCGAATTTACCCAGCATTCAGTAAAAATGTGAAAGCTAATTATAAAATAATCAACAACGACGAAACTAACAATTAAAACACATGGTAATCGTGGCGAACGCAGTGAACCGTCACGGGTCAGCGTAAACTAACACCAACCTGTGACACGAGAAGGCGAACAAAAACACTCACCGTCACTACATCTGACAGACAATCAAACTCGCCATACTCTATTAGCAGTCGCAGAGTTGTATCATGTTTCCGCTGACCTGTTTCACATGCGACTGATTCATTCGAAGTCGGGGAAATAACAGCAAGCATTCTATGGAAGAACGTGTCTGCAGTAGTAGTCTCTAGTGTCGCATGGCACAAACAATCCATTGTTAGGCGATCTGCCGTTCCGAGTAAGGGTGTGCACACCGATGACCAAACGGATCGCAAGTGGGATAAGTCAGACCAAGAAAACCCACGCCTATAATAGACAGGAAGAGGGGTCATCAAAAAACCATAATTATCTCAGAAAGAAACCACTTGAGGAGCCAACAAACACACATGAACACGAGATGTGGAATGAGGGGTAAATGGCACAGCAGGCCGGCTACTGATCGGCCGCTTGTGATGATGCATTTAAGTTTCTAAACTATTAGTTGGTTGCACATTGGAAACCCCCTGGAGTTTCATGAGACGCGTAGTGCTGATGACTCGCAATAAGGGCGAAACAGCTGTACAGTGCATATCGGTTTTTCGGCACAGAGAAGCTTGACAAGACGAAACCTCCATTGAAAGTTAAACGGGGTTAATTACTCCAAAGTGTGACCAATTTCAACTACCCACGAGAGCTTGAAGTAAACCCCTCATCGTCGGACTTGCATGCAGATGTTACAATAACAATGATGGACGTAATACGAAGGAGTAGTGGAGGACAAAACTACTCATGTAAAAAGCAATTAATTCACTGTCTCAAACAGGCGTCTGGGATCGCGAAGGTGAAGTACGCTGGATCTTAAGGGCAAAATCGAACGCAAGGTTGCCAGTAGCCAATTATGCCACCGTGACCACCACCAGTCGAGTAGGCTAACAGGAAGCCCAAAATACGAACGCAAGCGCTGCGGCAATTTATGCCAATGGTTGATAATTAATATTATTTATGTCATTCACGATAAACACAATAATTAAAAAGACGTTCTGGCCTGGCTCACTCAACGAAATTTATTACAATAATAAACTCCTCAGAGGCAGGCAAGCATTATAACGAACTTTTCGCCACCCTCGTGGAGAATATGAGAGCCACCAAATTTGCAAGACTCGAATATGATGTTACTATGATGAAAAGTGACAAAGAAAAACAGTGAATGGCCTAAAACGTCGGAATGCATACAAACGGGAACACCTACTTTGTAACCCCACTTTTATCCTTGTCCTTATATTCGGCCGCAGTTCCAACGCTAGACTTCGTTGTAGCTGATTCGATTACGCCAGTTCCAGCGACGATGGTCGCTCCAATGGACGGACAGAGAGAGATCAGAGCCTGACATGCTCTAGCCAAAAATAACCCCGACATAGGATCCACGGCCAGTTGTTCACAAGAATTTCCATCCGAATTGGACCGTCTGTATGCTGTTGTGATCAACCAATCTTCACAACTGTCCATTGTGGAGGGAAAATCAAAAAGGAGGGGATAAAAAACCATACATCATAGTGGTCTCCAAAAACAGTGAATGTGGTCAAACAAGGTGTTCCTCACGAGAGCAACCACTATTCGGGGAGAGGGAACGGTGTCCCCAATCTAACGTGACAACTAAATGAAATTCAGATCAGCTATTCGTTTTATCCAAAAACTTACTGTATTTTCGCATTCATTATCATTCAACTGGGTGACCAGATGTACATGAATGCACGAAAAAGTTGGTGGGGAAAGTAAATCTGTTTCCTCGACACAACTAACTGCATGGCATTTATGAAAACTCTTCGCCAACGAAGTAGCGGTTTCAGCCTACATGCAGCACACCAAGCAAACCTAGTCATCGGGTTTCCTCCAAGCTTATGTTCCACTTGAACACCAAATCGTACGCACATGGCAAAATACACTGGTGCTGAAAATAGACCCAACGGACTCTCTCGTACATAATGTTCTTCAACTGAATGTGTATTTATCGCAATCAGTTCAACTGGGTGACGAAAATTCGGGGACTGCGCCTACCTGATGAGCCCCAAGAAGGGCGAAACCTATTGTGGCATGTCAAAGAGTTTTCAACAACCTTGTGAGTAATCTCCTCTATGGAAAATGCCTCATGTTTCAGTTGGCAAGAGATATTACAGCGAATAGTCTTAAGGTAACACACTACTCAGTGGAACTTGTGGGTTTGTCCCGATCCACTTCAATCTGCAACACATGTGTCAGGTGATCATTCTTGCAAGCCTATTGCCAAGCTCGGCGAACAGATCAACAGCCATCTTGATCAACAACCGATAAATTCACCCAAGCTACCAATATTTCAACACATTACCAAAGCAGCATTGTTGACGTGATGGTCAGGTAACATTTTTTACTGTTGATCGTCGTTTTGTAAGCTAACACTTACCAGCTTTATAACCGCATCCCTATTCCGAACGTGAATGCTTTCAACGGCACACAATATGCAGCACATTCAGCTGATTTTCCCGTGAAAAAGCAGCATGGTAACTGTACTTAGATTAGTTAGTACACTCGATACATGGATAGAATCTGAACTACGTAAGACAAGATCGTCTGCATAGTTCAAGTCTTTGAAGTCTTCTCAATGAAGAAGCTCCGAGGCAGAGTTAGAAACGCAAAGAATGTTTGCTCGACTATTAATCCGAAGATGGTAGCCCTGGCAGACACCATTTTGCTGAACGTAGAAGAATACTCTCCGTAGACTTTCAAGGGCGTGGCATAACTGGGAAAGTGCAATGAGTGCTTGGGATACCTTCACAGTAAATACATCGCCACAACGTAACCCAATCTCCTGAAAAGGACGATGCCCTTAGATATTAGACAACACTTATTAACAGAATTTAGGAGTGGCGGTGTTCCAGCAATTGTCATAAGGTAAAAATGCAGTCAAGGGATTCACGATTCGGACGAAACCCTGCTCGGCTTTCACGAATCTGCATCTCACGAGTGCCATAAAGCCTGCGTAGTATGATACCTGTGGGCAAATTGAATGTGATCGTGAAAAAAATGATATCCAGATGATTCTCACAGTCGGACCGAAACGTTTTCTTGAAGAGAGGAAGGATATCAGATATTTACCCTTCAGATTCCAAAGGCATCACATCCGTTTTGACAGACTGCGAACGAATCCTTGTTCTCAGCGCCAAGGGAAGAGTCAGCACCGGATGTTTCGTTTCGCTTCAAAAGTGTGATTTCAGTTTTCGCTTCAACACCTATCAGAAGGGAACAGTTCACATCCCACTGTGAAGTTTCTGATGAGGGGGATATCATGATGAGTACTTCTGACCTGATGAATTGATCTTCGAAGTGCTCCGCATACCAAAGTGGGCGTCGGGAATGGGAATAAACTCTTCAGACGTCATTCTCTTCAATGACTCCGATTATCGGTGGCTTTCTTGGTCCGGTTTTATTTATGAGTTGAAAAAGAGATGGACTATTTGAATTCACCACCGACTTTCATTTATTAGGCTTCCTTATCCATCAATAGCTCCGTCAGTCTTGAGACTACCGGTTGTGTCGCCTTGACAATTTCCCAAATCACGTTATCATCCCAGAAGGATAACTTTTCTTATCTGAATCAGATACAAGAATCACAGTGGGATCCGTTTTTGAACACACATGGTCATACGCAGAATTCATACTCTTTCGGATTTTGAGCCCGTCTTCATTTGACCGAGCGATTTACTTAGCTTTCTTAAGTTGCCTAGACAGACACGAGAGCCGCAAAGCTCCAACGACAGAATCTTGCAGCGAGTGCATATCATACCGGTCTTATAAAAACCTGGAAAAGCAGCAATCGGACAAGAACCAGGGCATGTGTTACAAGATCTGGGATACCAAAAAGTAACTTGTACCTGTCGAAATTAAAAAGTCTGCAGTAAATTTGGAAGTAGGTACACTTGTGGAATTTTTGGGGCGGGAATCGCACTCACCCCAGAACTGGGTGGATTGCGGTGGGCAGTCATCTCTGCGCCGTTCGGTTAACCAGTGCGACCAAGCCCAATGCCACCCGACACAAAAAACGGTGCCTGATTGCAGTGTCGGAATATGTCCAACAGACTGCAGTTGACTCCCAGAAGGATATATTCTACCGAAACCTAAAGGGGCCCATTCGTCAAGCAAGGAGTGCTGGCATCATCACCATTACGGGCGATATAAATGCCTGCGACGAAGATACTGGACAATAACGTGGTATGAAGGCTTGTGTGCTTGAGCTACAGTGTGGTGTGTCCGTGCTAGAGGTCCATAGTCCCTCATACAAGGTTGGTCAGTGGAAGAACTCTGGCCAACACAGCCTCCTGGTCCCAAGTTTGGAGGTTGGAACATGTGTCGACTTGTCCTTCGAAAGTGGTGATGCAATTGCATTTCTCGCCAAACAGGCTTCTGAAGAGTGGGCTTTGGTCGACGACCCTAAGCCTATGTATGGACACTCTGGAAGTATCCCAGTCCACATACAACCATAATACTTACAACTAAATAATATACTCTCATGTCACGCAGAACAGCGAAACATCAGTGTTAAACACTGATGGTTTGCTGTCTACGAGTATGAATAAATGCTGATGATAGGAATAACCGATTCCGTCATTTGAGCCCCTGGAATCACATTTGGACAGTCGATCTGAAATGAATGTTCGCCGCACAGACAATAAACAACGACCCCCTACAGTTGTGTAATGATCATCAAATGTTTCTAGCAAGTAAATAATTCCAAAATAAACTCTCGAATCACGTAACCTGGCAGCTATCAAGTGCAAACAAACCGTGGACATAAATAGGTCACGTGGCATTCAGCCACCAATGGACAGCCCCAATTCAAAATCATAGATCATTTTGGGGCACACAACGTGATTCAGATTACGCCATAGTGTAAGCCAGCCGGCCAGTTCGCTTTACCTCAACTACTGGAAAGTCAGAAGCAAGCGCGCCAATCCACAAAATTTGGAGAACTACTACAACTCCAGAAAACATCAAATGAAAAATGAAAAAAATAATTGTTAAGCTGTAACACCCTTTCAGTGCCTAGCTGCCATGTCACCCGAAGGAAGCACGAGGGCTGGGATAATGCCAGGTTGCCCAAGCCTAGACAAGAGAAGTGGAGTGGCAGAGGTCGGGTTCGAACCACGGACCTTCCGGTCAGTAAATTCGCACTCCAACCACTGAGCCATCTGGTCCCAGAAAACAAGGCTGACAGAAACCTGTGGACAGCGCCTGCCTGATGAACCCCAAGAAAGGTGAAACGGGTAGTGGGCTATTGAACAGTTTCGAGCAACCTGATTCGCACTGTGTGTGACAGGAAAACCGATAAGGCTGTTGTGGGGTGTGAATCGCCTCTTACCGTTGTATTGCTCGTTTCAGCGTGGAAACCAGTATCTCCCACAATGGTAGCCAATCCTGATGCGCTGACTGGGCGACCGTTAGAACCAGTTCGGCTACGCTTTCGTCAAAGGTTTGACAAACACTGCACAAAATGCAAAATAGTGAAGGAACATGAGCCAAATTATCAAGGGGGAGTTTGCTTCAAATTTGGACTTGAAAATATACACACAAGCAGTATACATCCTATGAGGGACCACAGAGGAGAAAGGAAAGATCTGGCTTCTCTAGCAGACGATGCTATCACAAAATGAGTATGATGACACACAAAGACGGTCACCACAACCACATACATGCAAAAATAACGGCGTTTAGCTGGCACGCTACCGTGAGGAGAGACACTGCAAAGTGGAAAAAGAGAGTGGGGAATTCTAAAAAAAGCTCACAGTTCCTTTGAAAAACGATCGAAAACAAGATTCCAACAGCATAATGGCAAATGCATTTGAGCATCATGTCGAGAAAAGACCCCATCAGAAAGATAGATCCAGTTTATATATATACATATATACCTATATATATATTAAAAGCCCTACAGTGAAGAGAAGAGAAAAAGAGTGAGTGAGAGACGGACCTAGTGCTGGCCTATGTCAAGCATACTGAGATGCCTACACCTCCAAGAGCTCAATCTAACAATAGGGAAACAAACTGACAGCAAGAACGCCACTGACATCGGTTGGCGCCATTTCTTGCAGTCTCCAGCCAAGCACAGACGGGGTCACGGGGACCCCATCCTGGAAGGCGTACAACAACAAAAACACCCAAACTCTTCGTGATCTCTTTCACACCTTTCTGCCAAGTCATATGCTGTCCACGTCACGGTTTGCGCCGTCCTGAAGGAGGCACGGAGAATAACACTCGTCTCGGTAGACGGTGTTTCGGCATGCGTAGCACATGACCGAGCCATCGCAGTCGATGATGCTGGATGCTTTCTCGGATTGAAGTGCCTCAAGCACAACCTAATACCCGTTTTCTAATCGCCTTAACACACATAAGCCCAGGACAAAGCAGAACAACTAAACCGTCCGGCTACAACATGACAGCACGCTCGCTACTGGAATCGGCTACGTACTGCACCTGGTAAGATTTCAAACCGCGTGCAGAACCACGTGGGTTCCGGTCAGAAGATCCCACAGGACCCAGCTGGATGGTTACGCTTCCACTTCGTGTCGGCACACAATAGTCTGTCCATCGTCAACCCCCAGCAAGGGTGTGGAGTGTAAAATAATAGCCTCTTGGATGGATGGTGGTTTGACCACAACTTGATAATTTTTAATTCGCGCTTTAACTATTCTGATACGTTACCTAGTATTGCTGAGAACACGCTGTTGCCAGACAACTCCCATTATTCTAGAAAAAAAACCAATGTTCCGAATCTCTCAGCTGGGCGACGAGCTTTCAAACCACAAAGTTAGACTGTTTCTACAGTTGTCTTGTGTACAAGTCACCTCAGCTCCTGTTAAACTCGTTCTGGTGTCAAAATTGATGCGTTGATGCTTCGATATTCACACACTAACTTCTGTCACACTACAATCTCATTTTATCAGCTGGCGGGGACGAGCTACAAAACAGATCCAGCATAGGGAAAGTTACTCTGAAAAATGCAAGGAGACTGGCTACATCCACCACCAGAGTACGCCGAACGGTTGAATGAAATGGATCGAATGAAGATCGGGAGAAGCACAGTATGTCCACACTATGCACGTTCGAGTGGCGTGGCTACCCCTTTGTGGAACGAGTAGATTGTGAACAGTAAACTATACTTATAGAGGTGAACTGAAATATTGTGTGTCCACACCGATCGCAACTCTACAAATAGCGCTCCGTCTATTACAATTTGGTAGGACGTATGGGTGGTAGTCACTACGGGCACCATCAAGCGTATGTTCCATCTGACAATAACCGCGTGTGCGCTCATTCCCAGGGATCATAATCTTGGCGTCTGATTTGTCAGATACACTGATGTCGACAGCGGCAACAGAGGCAGCGGATCCCTGGCCGAGGAGTACCAACTAATCAAAAGCGAATAAAAGAAAATGACAAACGAGAACTGAAGAGCCAACCGAATGAAAGGGAGCAACAGAGAGTGTCCATGGAGCACCAGCTAGTCATATTACTTGTACATCCTCAGTAAATACTACTGATTTGTTGGGAAATAGTTAACCGTTAAACCTCGGATGCAGAACGGGGCAAATAAACGAAAAATAGTCTAAAAAGCCCGCAAATGCAGAATGCATTCTTCGTTAGGGTGTGAGGGGGGCTACTACCACACCATGGCATCCAGCGATGAGTCATTGAGATACCGTTTGATATCTAAACCATGTTTTCGTGCCAGTTGTGTGACCAGTCGTTCAACTTCAGTAGAACTTCCGTACACAAGTGCTACGAATCCAAGAGAAGCGGAAAACCTTATATACTGCTAGATGGCTAAAGATTTCATGAAAACGACTTACCCGAAGTGATCTACACTGGAAGACAGCCACCCTTGGACAGATCTTAACTATGAAATACACCTCAAGGGAATAACTAAGAATGAGGCGTACTGCATCAGTAATATTAGCTATGGGTATATACAACGCAGTGGTTTCTGTTATGTTACCAAGCAGTAAAGAACAGTGGGAAGTAAGTACGCATTAAGGTCACTACCTTGACTAAAGAAGCGCCGCTGGGTACCTGTAGATTGAGGTATATCTATTAATCTACCCAAGCATTATGGTCAATTTAATAGCCCCTATCCAGTCAGATGCTCGTATCAACGCGATCAAGCTTGGTGTATGAAACTTTGATCCTATGAGTGCAAAACATAACCAAATCTCTCCCAAACTGCTTGCATGACAAATGCGAGTGGGCAGTAAAAGCCGTCTCAACGGTCGTCTTTGAATTCCCACAGCATGACCTATGAACTGGTTCCTGGCTCTCGTCTTTGAATGCTACCACTAAGGGAGTTTTCAATGACGCGAGACGAGGCAACGCAATCTGACAGAAACCACATCTTCACAACCTATCAGAAAACATTCTAAAGGAAGACGGATTCCCAGAGAACTTCACTCCGTATAACAGTTAAAATTATCATCCACGTTTGAGGCCATCAGGAAAGGGAAGCTCATGTATCTTAATTTCCTTCAAAGGCGTTTTGCAGACAGCCATTCACTTACATGTGATTTTGCATGGTCTACAAATCCACAAGCAGGACGTACCGTGCCACCACCCTCCGTAACTGGAAAAAGAGTTCACTATTTTTATTCTTTGATATGAAGAGCCACACATAACACATTCCGATACTTTAATTCCATGCAGTTGTGATGCTGAGTACATTGGTCACAGCGCGCGGCAGTTTGTTAAGAGAATGGAGGGGAATTTTCTGCCCAAACTTAGTAAATACATGGGCAAGCACCTGAACGACACGTCGCAGGTCAAGCCCTACAGACACTCTTTAGGTACTTTACAGAACACCATCGCACTGATCCGAACCGACACAATTTGGTGTCAAGTCTAGCTGAAACGGTCGTTAAATGCCCCTATGCTGTAAACTCAAAAGCGGTTTGTTCACACACCACAGTTTTCGCAACTGCAAGTTCACACGTATACACCAATCCATGTCAACATACCCGTCCGCATCCCAAATTCATTCCACTAATGATCTTCGACTCTGCTGTTTAATCCCATGCTGACCTACTGGATTCTGTGTTTCTGGGTACACCTTACCTTGTTGTAAGCTATATGTTTACATACATTATTACTTCAATTGCATAAATTTATTGTGATAATCGTTCAACTGTAACATGAATAGCTATCGTACCACCAAAGGAAACTGGAAGGTTGAGTTACTGTCTGGTCGCCCGTGCTAGTACAGCAGCCGTCTAGATACGGAGGTTGGGTTCGGACCACCGATCTTCCGGTTACTGAGCCATCTCGAGTCTGAAGAATAATTAATGAAACCAATGTTTGTGTTGCCTAGGATCTGTTACAGTTTTCAGGCTTCTGGTTCATAAAAAAAGTTCGGAAAGCAGTGTAGTGTAACGTATTTGGATTTGAGATATGAGAATAGCACCAGTAGTTTGTAATAACTTAACCGAATAGGCTTTTGAAGGAAATCCGAATATTCCTTTGTCGTTGAAGCAAACAAACATAGATGGAAAAGTATGTGCCCGCACTACAGCCGGCCACATGCACAAAAGAACCAGATAGGTCAACAAATTATAAGTCCTGTTGAAAAGCGAAAGGCTAACAAAGCCTTCGGAAACTCAAAAACTATCGACCGGGGAAATTCGAGACAAGAGTTAGTGTACTCCAAAGCTTACTTACTTTTGCAGGGATGAAGGTAGGAGAGAAAGTCTTGAAGCCAACTGATTGGTATCCGCAGATCGTCGATTACCTGCGCTTGAGCCCGTATATGATGGAGACGGAAGTGGTAAGTCAATCGTTGATGAGGATGAGTTATCAAAGACTAACCGTTGAAGGAACACCAGTAAATGTGGTGGGGGAGCGCAGACTGTTTCCGATTGATCGTGTGGTACACAAACAGTAGCCGGGATCGACCGATCGGTGAGGTAGCAAAATACGATGAGACCGATATTCTCCGGTCGCAAGATGCGAGTAAGGCTGGTGGCCGCGGGATGCAACCCTGCTGCGCTTTCCGTCTTGGTTCCCATGTCAGTACGTTTCTTACAACCTTTCGTACTGCCGATCTTCGTCGGGTAAGTAAGTTGTTCAGAGATCAAGACATCTGGTTTGATGTCAGACCAAACAAAGCTCAACTCATTGGAGATGATTTGTCTTTTTGGGTTCTAAATTAAATAAACAAAACGTATTTCATTAGATGTGAAACAAAACTGGACGTTTATAACACATAAGCCTACATCGTAATGCAGCGGCGGACCAGTGAAATACGTCACAACTGAGGGCTTTCGAACAACGAACGCTGGTGTTACGTTCAAACTGCGTCATTATTGCAGCATTTTCATGGGAAACGCAGTGCTCTTTGTGATGGAAGAACATATAAACAGTTTTCACCACAAAACTGCTCATTGACGTGGGTCTTCATGAGACCCCCCCCCGCCGTTTGACAAACAGATGAGTCTAAATTGTAATACCCACTGGTTGTGAATTTATGCACCATAACTTCCAAAACTGAACCAAGACATATCGGGGGATCTAAATCGGTTTCGCATAAAGCAAGATAATCATTCACACCAGTTCTCCTAGGAAAACATTGGGCGTAAGACTCGTCCCCATGTAGTATCAGTACGAAAGGGCTAACTCACAAGGACCAAAATACACGGAGGAGATGTGGTGCAAAACCGATTACATCGGGACTGTGTGAGTGGGTGAAACTTGGGAAGTGAACAACATCCACAAACACCAAAAACAGCAGTCTGACGTATGAATAGTGGATTCAATTAGAATCCCAGTGGAATATAGCCACCTATGTCAGATGAACTCCTTTAATTTGTGGAAGGATCGCTCGCATTGATGTCTCGGAAAGGCTGTTAAGGTAGCGCTATCTGTAGGGCTGGTATTTTAGTATACCTCAGGAACTTCATAGACAACAGAAAAGCAGTGTTACAGTTATATCTCCCCAAACAATATTCGCCATATGACCTTGATCAAGAATCTGGGTGCCGCGAGTTACCGAAAGAAATCTTCGAAGCATTGTCAGCAAGCAACTGCACAGATGACGAAAACAGATACTCCCAAACAATTCTTGTATAGAAACTCGTTGATCGGCGAAACCCATCCCATAATCTAGCAGCTGTTCGAAAAAAATGTCTACAGCGAAATATAGTGAGACTACGTTCAGTTAATAATGTACTTCTGAGAGATGACTTACTGATTTTTCAAATGACAACTCTGGTTGGCCCCTTCCTGAATGTTGCGAGAGCAGTGACTCAACTTCGGAGGTCCAACGGCACCAGAAATCATGAATTTTCGTTTCAACAAGTTGCTACGGACCGGAGAAAACAGGTATCACAAATTAGAAGACTAGGAGAAATAACGTTCACGATTACTCCTGATTCAAACATCCTCCTACATCACTCACACAATATACCCAGGAAGGCCACATTTTGTAGTCCTTCGGAGGCAGCAAGGGTAGGTGGCTGAGGTGCGCTATAAGCATACATAACGGCAAGGTATATGGTGTTTTGCTATCACAAGCAGGAGCAGTCAAGTAACCTATCCTTAGTGTTCTTAGGGTTTACACATTAACAAAGAATTAGTCAATGAGAGTGACCAATTACCGACAGTAACAGTGTCACCGAGATGGCATAAAGAACAAGGTATAATCATTGCACTGTCAATCACCTTCACGGTCATATGTGATATCTGTTTAGACAAAAGGGAAAAACACAAGCAATTCGAGATTGCTAAAAATAGGTCATAGCATTTCGGACGAAAACTCTGAATGAGAGGACAATCATAGACTTTCTCAAAAGCAGTACCCACGCAATCATTGACCACAGTATGATCCAATGTTGTCTTCTTATAAAAAATGCAGACCTTGGGTGGTACATCCCACGACTGTGTCAACAAGAAACTTGAATAAAGTCCGAAAGAAGGGACACTCATGGCGAATCCCAATTGTTTTGGGAAAACTTTTGGGTAGCTCGTTGTAATTGCTAACACGTCCCGGAGCATAGGACGAGGAACATGAACCTTGAAGGTATTGCTCGTTGGCCGATTTTATGTGGAAGTTTCAACGTACCCAGGGGATTGAAGGAATCCTCGAAGTCCAGGACTCTATGGATAAGTTGAGACGAGGAGGAATACCACCGAGGTTTATTAATAGACCTCATGCTGCCTAATCCCCCACTTCTGGTCGGATTAGGACATAGAATAAGGTGTCCAATTTTCCCCAAAACTAATGGGGCAGGTCAGGAATGTTCCTTCTCCCCTCAATTTTGTGGTCGGCACTGTCATGAAGTGCACTCTTCGAAAGACCATGAATATGGATGTCGAAATTACATCTGGAAAAACAATGGTATGCTTAGATCATGTGGATGGTATTGTTCTGCTATTTGAAGATCACACACCTACACAAACTACTCCAAACAGGATACCGGTATGAGTCTTCTCTTTTACTCCAAAGGTTTGTTAGCGAAATGTTCACGGAGGACAGGCCATGACGGGGCAAAGCGGAATGAAAGAAACTACTGAGTTGAATGTTGTGGGATATTCGCGCCCTCTTGGAAGAGGTCCCATTGGTCACCATTGGTAAGATTTAGCTACCTATTCCCATGTGTGTTCATAATACGCTTGGACAGATGGGTTCAAACTGCCGCAAAAGCAGCTGTACTGGCCTTATAAGGAAGTCAGCGGTCGCCTAGATTTTGGTGGCTTCGCCAAATTGACGAACCAACTGCGGTCGAATCTCCCGCCAAAATTATTTTAGAATAAGCGTCTCGAATTCTTATGAACTACTCTCTCTCTCTACTAACTAGAAAATGTTACTACAACGCAAATAATTATGAAGGCTGAAAATTCAAAAGGGAATTTGTCCCTAAACTAAGCACTCACTGCGATATGTGTTAGAAACGGGTCAGCAAACAATTCACTCCATAGATCCTCCTCCCTGTGTAAAATAGATTCGCCGACGTGAGGATGTCCAATAGTGAACTCTGCAGAACTCAGGTCAGCAGGACAGCCATTTCGTGAGGTGCCTATGCTTGAATTGGTCGTTGGACTAGCTCGTGCAGGACAACTGCCCTGTTTCTGCCATTTAGTGATCATAGGTAAAATAGAGGCGCGAATGGAGACTAGAGAATTGAGGTTGGGAGCATGGGACATTGACTTTGTGATTGTAGAACGACAAAGCACAAGGGATCTAGAAAAAAAGCAAATAAATGCATGGACAGATGCTGTAGTGACAAAACACAAAGAATTATGCGAACGTGTGAAGCGCAATGACAAAGTTAGTCTCAAGTTCGATTCGCTCCTAAAGAACAGAGTTCACGACGAATAGCCGCACAAGAAATATGGGCAGCAATTTTATTCAGCAACCCAGGAAAAAAATAAAACACCGGCTATTTATAATCATGTAACCCCATACCATCCACTACAAAAGACTCAAAAATGGACTAATTTTCTTCAAGAGGAAACACGTTAGCGAATATACACTCATTTGCAAACTAATTTGGTTTTTTCGAGAGACTCACCTGGAACCCAGCTGAATTATCAGCTGAACATCATAAAAACGAAAGATTCAGCTGGGTTCCAGGTGAGTCTCTCGAAAGAACCAAATTAGTTTGCAAATGAGTGTATATTCGCTAATTTCGTGCAATTTGGTTTCAAGTAGAACCCGGGGACCGCGCCTACCTGATGAGCCCCAAGAAGGGCGAAACCGGTCGTGGGCTGTCGATGGACTTTCAGCAACCTTGTGAGTAGTACATTACAAAGGAAACACGGTTCTTCTTCTTCGGCGTCACAAAATTCTTCATCAATGGGGACGGCCTCTCGTCAGAATTCGCCCGACAAGTACCGTACCACATGGTTTTTGCATTGAGGACAGCAATTATATTTCTATATCGGCATTTCAAATAGCTTCAGTGATAGTGATGGAAACTCTCCGGCCCATATAAAACGAATTATCCAGAAATGCGAAACTCCTATGCATCAGCAAATGACAACGTCACATGATAAATGCCTGTAGTCAAGTCACTTAGAGCCAGAAGGGATTCCCACCTAACTAATTTTGAATAAAACCAGCAAACACGATTAGTAATCGTGTACGATGCAACAAAAACAATGGTAAATACGCATTGCACTATTCACAAGGTTGCTGAAAATTCATTGACAGCCCGCGATCGGTTTCGCCCTTCGTGGGGCTCATCAGGTAGGCGCAGTCCCCGAGGTTGAGTTAACTTTAGGTTATACTTGAAACCAAATTGCACGAAATTAGCGAAATACACTCATTCGCAAACAAATTTGGTTTTGCGAGACTCAACTGGAACCCATATAAATCCCCCGTTTATGATGTTTCCAAGCTTGGTTCCAGGTGAGTCAATCGGAAAAGCAAAATTGTACGCAATCGAGTGTAGTTCGCTAAAACCAATGGTAGCTATAAGGTGATATTGCGTGGTGCTTTGCCTTATCCTTCAATTGTATGCCCTTCCAATAGTACTGCAACCCGGCCTAAAGCTGTCACCTTATCGTGGTGGTCGGACTTAAGTGCTACAATGATCCTGCGGGCCATACTGACTGGAATTCAGTTCCTAGAGGTTCAACCATGCCAGGAAGGCCAACGGGGAGCAGCTCGACGAAGAACATCGAGTCATCCTACTGCGAGTAATCGTATTATGAAGCAGTCTGGTGGTAAAGTCGTACTATCCTCCGCGAGAGGAGTGTGAAGAGAGTAAGGTATTTCCCCAGGCGACCAGCATGTCCATATTTATGAAAGCAGTAATGCTGCCTTCCCCCGAGGAAGGACGGGTCAGAAAAGGTCCGCCGCAGAATCCCCACATTCCGATCGCCCAAGGTTGACCGTGACCACCAGCACATTATTCAATACGGTCGAGCCCGGTCCTGCTCAAAAGGCACCTGGTGTGTGTAGCAGCATCAGGAGTGAGACAGTAATGCCCTACTCCCTGCGCCCTAGGGCCAGGCCGGCCCCCTACGGCCAAGTTACTCAGATTATTGGGTCATTGGCTCTGAGAAGGGTTCCCCAAGTAAACCTTAACAACCGCTGTCTCGCGATCCAGACTTTTGAGTCAGAGGCTAGGGGCAGGGTCCCCGAATAAAACCCTACATCCTCCCGCTGCCTTGTGGGTCAGACTTTTGAGTCAAAGGCTCAGGTTGGGGTGCCTCAACTAAACCCCATTCTTCGGCTGGGCAACCGGGAAGTATCAGTTGCCCTTTCAGCTCTTCGCTCACCGACCTTCCCCCTCATTCTCTTCATTTTCCCCATCGTACAGTGTAGTGCAATCAACCAATCTGGCAATCACCTAACCACTTCTCCGTGTCTCAACTATCGCCAAGAAAGATAAACCAAAGTAATCACCTACTAACCTCAAAAGATTTGATCCACGTTGCAGCATTCAACGTCCGCACTCTACGTTAAATTGGGCAACAGGCATCCCTTGCTGAAACCTTACTTCCCCTCTCCATCAATGTGTGTTGTCTCCGAAACACGCATACAAGACACCACTTCGGCCAAGCTCCTCAAGCCGCTTAGGACGAGCCCAGCTGTTCCACATTTCACTCTCCGGGCATCCGGTTATCCTAACGCAATGTCTCATGGTATCTACGGTGTGGAGGTTGCTGTGGGGTTGTCTAGCTCAATCAAGATTAACGGTGGTCGGTGCGGTAAACTTTGTTTGCGTGTTGTATCAGCATACGCTCAAACAAATAGCAGTACTGAGACTGAGAAGGACGAGCTTTATCAAGATCTGTCACGACTGCTTCGGTCGGCAAGAAGGACGGATATTGTAATCATGGTGGGTGATGTGAATGCCCAAGTTTAACGACTAAGTCTGGAAGAAGCGCAGTTAGGTGGTCGATTTGGGGTCGATGTTGAGCGTACGGATAACAGAGAGCGGCTTCTTTATTTGTGTGCAGATCATCGTCTGTCCCTAGCCAGTACGAACTCCCAACACAGACGCATACATGGAGTTACTTGGAGGCTATCTACCACAAGACAGTCGTGGACTCAATCGGACCATATGGCTATCAGTTACCGATGGGGAGCCTCAGTTGAGGATTGTCGTTCCCGCTGGGGTACGCAACTTGACTCTGATCACGCCATCGGGCGGGCCAGTCTAGCACTTCGCTTTACTCCAGCACTACGTATGCCGAAAGGAAACAGCTCCGTTCATCAACTCTGACAAGTCTAAGTAGCTGAAGAGTATCGAGCTTATCTGGTTAGAAAGCTACTGAAAACGCAGTCATATGGACGACGAATATTGCTTGGAGAATGAATGGAGGTAAATTAAAGAAGCAACGTTCTCAGCTTCCAGAAGTGCTTGACCAGCCCATCTGACTCAACTTATTGAACACCGGATATCTTCGAGATCAGTAGATCTTAATACTGTCAGGAAGGCTATACCAGCCAATAGCGACTCTCATGGCGAACGCAGACCCTCAAACACCGGATAATCAGTAACTTCAAGAAATGCCGAAAGGAGCTCCGTTCATCAACTCTGACAAGTCTAAGTAGCTGAAGAGTATCGAGCTTATCTGGTTAGAAAGCTACTGAAAACGCAGTCATATGGACGACGAATATTGCTTGGAGAATGAATGGAGGTAAATTAAAGAAGCAACGTTCTCAGCTTCCAGAAGTGCTTGACCAGCCCATCTGACTCAACTTATTGAACACCGGATATCTTCGAGATCAGTAGATCTTAATACTGTCAGGAAGGCTATACCAGCCAATAGCGACTCTCATGGCGAACGCAGACCCTCAAACACCGGATAATCAGTAACTTCAAGAATGACGGAGAACACTGGTAAATTTCGAAGGCTCAGGAGATGGAGAGTGCTTTCACTGCGGGCAACAGCCGCGCTCCGTTTCAAGTGGTCCGATCAATGGGTCAAAGGAAGGCAGGTGTCAGTGAGACAATATGCGAAATAAGATGGAAAAGCAATCTACTCCCTCAATCGCCGTCTTGAGCGGTGGGCTGGGCACTTCCAAGAACAGTTCACATGGTCTCCTTCAACACAACCGCTGATAGAACCAAGCAGGCCCGAATGGAACATTGACACCAACCCAGCATCAGCAACCGAAATCCAGCGGGAGATCTCAGTACTGGAGCGCAACAAGGCACCTGGCCCGGACGGTCTGCATCCCGTGCTATTCAAGGAAAATGGCGAGGTCCTGGTGAACAGTATGACAACCATACTACAGAAGACTTAGAATAAAAACGGAATACCTGCAGAATGGAGCTCCTGGACCGTCATCCCAGTTTTCAAAGGGCGCAAGAACGTCATCTAAAGACCATCCTGGTATCCGTCTCATCCAAGGTGCTCTCTGGCATTATTTTGCGCAGGTTGATGGATTATTGGGAGTTTCGTGAGGATCAATCTGAGTTTCGCCAGGCCGAAGGTGCGTCGACGATATCTTTACCTTGAGATAAATTCTCCAACAGCACAACTCCTTCAAACGTCCCAAGATGGTCGTTTTTCTCGTTTTGAAAGCTGTCTCCGATTCCGACTTTGGCAGTGCCTGGAGATCAAAGGTGTCCCTTCCAAATTTGTATCCCTTATGGGAACACTGTATGCGAACTCCTACGTACGAGCATACGGCAAGCTTTCGCCTGAGTTCACCACGTCCAGTGGTGCAAAACAAGGCTGCCCTCTCCCACCTTCCTCTTCAAATCTCTTATTTGTGTTGCTTGAAATTTCTCCGCCCACCTCTGAAACCTCGGAGGTCGAAATGTTCTCCGGGACGTCCCCTCACTGAAATTATGTATGCAGACGATATTGCCCACCTTGGTCCAGATACTGCCCAAATGCAAACGATTTTAAATAACTTGAATAACTGTCGCACAGTTTGGCATGTGCTTCACACCTGTAAAGTGCTGCTACAAGACTGGGTGCGATCAAACTCATACCTCATGCTTGCAGGTGAACCAATCTATGTGGTAGATGAATTTGCTTACCTGCGGAGCTGTATAAGTTCCGGTGGATTGGCTGGAGAGAGATTAATTCCCAAATCGGAAAGGTCAGGGCAGCTTTTGCCAAACTCCGACAGCCATAGCGCCAACCTGACGGGGGTGTCTGTCAAGGGAACAGTTTACACTGCTGTGGTGCGATCCACACTGCTTTATGGATCAAAGACGTGGCACCCACGCGCAGAGGACATACGGAGGATGTCAGTGTTGGATCATCGGTGTCTCCGCAGCATTGGTCAGGTCTGATGGGAACGTCGGATTGGTAATTCTGAGGTACGCTACATGGTCTTAGGAAGAAGGAACTCTCCCGCGATGGACGAATTACTCACACTTAATAGGTTGCGCTGGTTAGGACTTGCACTTCGAATTCCAGAAGACCATCTGCCTCACAAAGCTCTTTTCACCCAGCTCTGTGCTGAGTGGAAGCGACCGAGAGGTGCACAATGTATGGCAACGGAGTACGAAAACACTAACCAGTAAACCTAGTCAGGTGGGCAACTGCCGCCTCCCTGATAAATTCAAATTTAATTGAACTGAGTACTGCAACCATGAAACAGTCCAGCGAATGGTGAAGTATGCGGTTGAGTCAAGCCAAGTCCACTCAAGAACAATTTGGTGACGGGGTAAAGTGAATCATAGGCTGTCAGTTTGTCAAACCCGGAAGGTCGGTCTGCTCGGTTACACACAAGACAAGCGGTTTTTTCCCTTTGACTCGCTGAGTGCAAACTGCGCTGCGGAAAGAGGGTGGAGGAGATTACGAAGAGTTCAGGTGCTGTTGGTGTGGTCCGCTTTCTAGGATAGAGTTCGCGTGACCCCTCCACCGCGTTTGGCTGGAGACATAGCAATAAATGGTGACTAATCGATGTCAGTGGCATTCGTGCTTTCAGTTACTTTCCAAATTGTCTGATCGAGTGTTTGGAAGTGTAAGCAGCTCAGTGCTTGCAGTAGGCTGTCCTCAGGCTCTAGCTTCATCCACCATTTCCGCTTTTTTGATCTTAGGCCTTTCAATACGATTAAATGAACCTTGGGCTCATGCAGCAGTGAAGCATCAGTGTCAACAGTGATATTGCTGTTTCGGGTGAAGATAGCGTCTTCTTGCTAAATCTAAAGTAGATCTCAAAAAACCTATAAGCAGCTTGACTTTCTGGATAGTTTGCTTGTATCCCATGTTGGTCAGCATATTCCTACTCTAGACTAGTTCTATTCATGATTGAGTCTGTCGTCAAAATTTCGAAGTGAATGTAGTGTATCCTTCACGATAACTACCTCGTTTAGGAACTCGTCACAAATGAAAACGCTCATTACTTAGTATAAGTTAACCAGTTGTCAAACAAAATCTAATGAAGTCGCCACAACTGTTCCAGCGCTGATCTGGAGGTCCCGGAGACTGAGTTCCGAAATATCGAATTACTAAGTACATGAAGAATTCTGAAATCATCTGCCTAATCTTCCGTTGCCACAATCTTCGTGTCTAACTATAACCAACCGCATCGACTTTCGGATTTGCCCCGCGGGTTGCACCTGCGCATTTGTGAGGGACTGGGTTTTTGACATCATTAACTGGGTCAAGACAAGGCCTCGGCAAACGACGGCTGGTGACCGTCACCTCGAGTGTCCAAGTCCAAACTAATGAAAGTTCAGCACCACAAGAAACACCAGAGCCAGCATTTATGGTACAACCAGTCATACAGCCAGGCTCAACAAGTCAAAACAATCTTTGTGATGCAACCATTAGGCAAAAGAACATTATGACGTCGCCCATCCGGGCCGTGACGCGAGAGAAATACAAAGGAGTATCGCAAGGCGGTGCCAAATAAGTCGACCGTTTGAATAATTGAATGCTGTGCTGCAAAATGAGTGACAAAATGATGGGTAAAATGCACCTGAAGAATCCACTGATGAAATGAAAACTCTAGCAACTCTCACGTCTATGCCTGATACCAAGGGGACCAGAACACTCAATGACAATTTTATCGAGTGCTGAACTACCAGGGTAAACAATTGGCCAGAAGGGCGGGGTAGTCAACCACCTAACAAATACAAAGCGAGGTCGCGAAATGAAATGGTTGCAAGCCACCGCAATACACTGATATGTTCAGTCAGCGGTATAGATGTGATTCAAATAGCACAATCCGAGGCACGAAGCTAAATGAACCCATTAACAGGTGAACAATAAATCTGTCAGGTCCCCCTACTGATCGCATTGGGTGACAACAAAGACGGTGCTAAGGAGAGACGAAAGAAGGTAAAATCCGGTGTTTAGTTGCGAATTAGACAGACATACTCAGACCACCAAGCACAAACACGTTCCTCAAGGAGTAACAAAGGAAGATCCATGATTGGGCCTTCATAGCTCGATGCGGATCGACTTGCACTGCACGTGGCACTAAAGAGACGAAAATTGATCACTTCGGGCGGCAGGTGCGAATACAACCGATCACCAACCAACCAAGTAGCACCTAATGAAGGATAAAAAAGTGGAGAGAGCGCAACTTCAATTCACATTGAGAAATAATGCAGACAAGAGTAGGAGAAACCACTGATTTGGATGGTACACTCAACACAAACTGGACTAATACAACACCGAAAGCAACAAATGAATCCTGAAAGTCGAGATTGTTCTATTAAAAAAGTTTCCCTTCCTAAAAAATTAAAAGCACAAAAGTAGGGGACTGTTGAGTGCGAAATCACTTGTAGCTGACCGTTTGACCGAGTCTAGCTATCGGTGCCAGAACGTCTCGTCAACCACCAAGTTGACAGCACCAGTGTGCAGTTGGTTGCTCACCAAACGATACAAGTCCGTCTCCAAATGGGAGGGTTTCAAGTTTCGAGTTTGAGAGACCAACCGGCCAACAAGAAATAGGCTTGATTCTATGCCACATGGCAGTTATGGGCAAACGACTGGGTTAGGTGGACATTGATTAGGATTTTTTGCATGGAGATCAAACCGTTGAGTTGTCAGAAAACCTCGGCAACAAAGCCGACCGAGTAGAACACAGAGTTCGTGGGATCAAGTAAAGAGCACAGACCGAAAACAGTACGACGTTCATAAATGTTCTTCGAGCGGAATCAGATAGTGTGCCGGATGTGGCTCGATACTTGAGGCTGCGTGGAAAAATCCTATAGTTTAACGCCCTCGTTGGTTCAGTCATTCCAAGATGATCAGTTAAACTGTAAAAAAATGTGTTCTATTCAGTGAAATTCCTGTTTCCAGTTTACTGAGAACCGTAGATGCGCATTAACTCCAGAATAACTCCAGAACGAATTTCAACCAAACAAAATAGAACGCCTGGCGGCAAATTTTTCAGTGGTTTAGGAGAACATCTAACAGAAGAATTTTTTAAAAATGACTAAGTAAACGCGAAAATCAAAGGTCTACTGAGAAACGTAAGCATGGCATTGTTAAACGGCAAAGAGGTTTAATATAATCGTACCTTTTAGCTTCCATTCTTGGAGTTTGAGGAAACCACGCCTGAGTGCCCCCAAACGTTCCACAGGAGAGATAGTATCCACTCCGTCATCAAGAAAAAGATATTCAGTTGTTTCCAGTGCAGACATTAGGAACTTTCCCACAAGAGCCAGTTGCTTTTTTAGTGGAAGAGGTGGCGCACCACTTGCGTTACCACCATCCAGTTGGAGGGTTTCTGTGTGGCTAGTGGCGAGAATGTGCTCCAAGGCCAACTGTGAGAGTACAATAGGTGGATAGTGTGCTTATTAGAATAAAAGGTTAACACTCAAGAGAGAGACCTGCTCGAGAGGTGTGACCGTGACACACACCACGGCTTCAGTGGTGTAGAGTGACAATGAAAAGGTGGGAAAATCCCGTTGTAAGTGTGCGACGGTCAATCTTACAAAAATCCACACAAAAACGGAACTCAGTCTAATTCCTAGCCGGTTCGGGGATTTCGCATGGTGACAACGACAGAGGTGGAACTGATGGGAGCCGCATTTGAACTGGAAATTTGCGAAGCATTGGTTTGGTATTCAAAACTTGTTGCACGATAGATAGGCGGTTTTTAGTATACATCGGTGATAAAAATGTCAGAAACAGTAAGGTTTTCATCAGAGAATATGATCAATCCACGGGAAAACTGTACTAAGGATAGCGTCGTACGCACTTCTATAAGCGATATATTAATTTTTTGTTGATTGTACAGGCTGCTGGATTAAGATAACATCACGGAAACGAGCACATCTTCCATTGTCCCTGGATTTAGGGCCCCCATCAGCAGGGTAAGAATGTCTGCAGAGTAGTACACCACACGGGGAATTTCTCCGATGACAATTTCAACCGCTGCCATGGGTGAGGGTGCAAAGGCATCCTGTTGCAACAGCAGACGTCACTCACACACAAACACATGAATATGATCTACTTGAAGTAAATCAACGCTGTCTAAAGATAAGACATCGACTCTCGGGATGAAAGAAAAGCGGTAAAAATCTACATAAACACCCAATTGGCGTGTGCATACGCTGAAAAGACCAGTCTACATTGGGAGCCTTCACCGGTGGTGCAGTAAGAAAATTTTCAATCGCCTGTGATTGAATTCTGATGCGGAAGCATACTGAAGAGACTAAAGACGAAATCAATACATTTACACTCGGTGAGATCAACTACTGCCAAAACAAAATTTGGGAAATGGAAAGACAGCAGAAACTAACCTTTCGACCTTTTAGATACTCAGTCAAGGCTTGGTCTAGCGACGAGTTCTCCAGTAACAACAGGGCTGTTAGGGAATTACACAGTTCCTACAGCCAATAACAATTATAACCTTTGTGCGAATACCTGAGATGTGGAAGGAGGAGCCGAAAGCCTGCGCCGGCATGCGCTTAACACAGCAACCTCCATTTGGGCTAGCGAGTTCCACAGCCTCTTTACTAAAACATGCACGTCGACATCGGAGGAGAGGAGTTCGCTACTCAAATGTAGTCGGGCGGAAACGTGCCGCCCTAGGAAAAATAGTATGGCTGCAGATGTATGGTCACCGGAATCCATGTGATTCCATATCTAGGAATGCAAGAAAGTAATAAGCGCGTGGAACACGCACTGACCAGTTCTGGGATATCCAAAAGAGACTTCACATGGGCGGCAATCAAGAAGTCTGCTGAACATTTCGAAGTAGTTTCACTGATGGGTAAGTTTGAAATGATATCCACCTACTCATAATCTGATGAAAAGGAAGCAGTCAGGCGACTGTAGTGATTAGCGAGGGTTCTTGTGGCGTTCGCAACCTAATGCAGTCAGAACGAAGTGGAAAACCTCACCGTAAATGATAGATCTTTCATTGCTTGTATCGTGTCCGAGGCCTCGATCACATCTCTATGACGCTCGCCTACTAGGCTACGTAACTCGTCCTTCTTTTTTTCAACTTCACTCCTGCGTGTGTGGAAAAGGCAACGAGAGGAGAATACCTGCGCTTTCTCAATAGTTCTTGAAGAACTTCAATGGAATTGTTGATAAACAGATTTTCTAGCTCCGTGTTCATGACTTGTGCCGTTGGGCAGCTAAAAAAACATGAAAGTGCTCGTGCAATAACCCACAAAAACGTTTCATATGGATACTGTTTGGTGGTTGGTCAGTCAATGGATCTATGTAACAACCGAGAATGAAACTGAGTGAGAAGAGAAGGTTCTGTTAGCAGGGGAAAAACCATTGTTTAGTTGTGCACTGGAGATCTTATTCGAAGAATATGTCCAGTAAAAGAAGCTGTGGTGGTCAGACAATGTATTGCGCATGCCGAACCATCATTCGCCGAAGATAATGTTGCTTTCCGTACCAGTTGTCTCGCAAGCAGATCAGTGGTTGAACTTAGACTTGAAAGACGGGTATGAAAGAAATTACGAAAAGTTTGGGTGCTACCACTGACTCGCCTCCCATGATGAAAATGACTCTGGCCTACTTCCGAGCGAGGGTCTTCATGAAGCTTGAATGCTCTCGATGATGACGATGGAGACGCGAAAATTTGACAGGAAGACGCGAGAACTGTTCGTCAAATTGCTCGGCTCAGCGGCCAAACTACCTTTCCTTGTTAAACTCACACCACTATGAACATTGATTGTTTCGCTCATCGGCGGCTTCCGGCGACACACTGATTAATCGAAGTAATCGTCACGCATTCCCGGCGTGAAGCGCCCATTCCACTTCCTTAGCCTTCCACGTACACCTGACTTCATGGTTGACGAGTAAGCCGTGTTTTACGTGGAGTCTGATAATTAGTAGGGTAGGATCCAAGAAGAACACTCCGGTGCCAAATGCCTTGCGCGGCGAGATGGCTCAGTGGTTAGAGCGCGAATTTAATGATCGGAAGGTCCGTAATTCAAACCCGACTTCCGCCTCTAGACTTTCCCTGTTCTAGGCTTGGGCAACCTGGCGGTATCCAAGTCTCGTCATCGTGCTTGCTGGCCTGACGACCTTCTACCTGCTCTTTTCAAGGATGGCGGTGGATTCCTCAGCCAGTGCCTGTCTAGCCTAATTGGGTGTATCTGAAAGAGACCGTCCCAGACAACTGGGGTGAATCGACAGTGGTAACTATTTTCAAAAAGGGTACTCGCAGTGAATGTAGCAACCACAGAGGTGTTAGCTGGACGCCTGTTGTGACAAGGCTTCTAGCGTCATTGATTCTTCGTCGTCTCATGGTGGCACGCGAAGTTTTGACTCGTGAGAATCAAGCGGGATTTCGACCGGGTAGAGGCTGCGTTGACCACATCTTCACACTCCGTCAGGTGTTAGAGCAACGCCACATGTACAGACGAACCACAATCCTGGTATTCCTTGACTTCAAGGGTGCGTTCGATTCTGTTGATTGATCAGTTCTGTTAACTACACTTGCTCAACAGGGTATGCCCCAGAAGTTTGTAAACAATCCGATCTCTATATTCACATACTTCTGGGCGGGTGAGGGTGTATGGTGAGCTCTCCAAAAGCTCTCCTACAAAACGTGGTGTCAGACAAGGATGTCCACTCTCCCCATTCTTGTTCAACTTCGTCATCGATGAAATAATGAGGCGAACACTGGACGGTTTTCAAAACCCCGGTGTTCAAATTGTTGCTGGCGAGAGCCTTGTCGATCTGGAGTACGCAGATGACATCGCCCTCATCTTTGAAGACCTTAGCGAAGCACAAGCCCTGTTGAATAAACTGACCGCCATCATACCATCATTTGGCATGCGCCTTGCACCTTCAAAGTGCAAAGTCCTGCTTCAGAACGTGCCATCTGCGAACATATCCCTTACAGTTCAAGGAGAACCACTGGAGATTGTGGAAAACTTTACATACCTCGGTAGTTGTATTAGCTCTGACGGAAGTGTGTCTGATGAAGTCAGTGCAAGAATCTCAAAGGCTCGAATCACGTTTGCTAATTTGCGTCACTTGTGGCGTCAAAAAGGCATCTCACTGGATCTTAAGGGTCGTGTGTACCAGGCTACAGTAAGGGCTGTGTTGTTGTATGGGTGCGAGACATGGCCTCTTCGGGTAGATGATGTGAGGCGTCTTCAGGTTTTCGACCACCGATGCCTCAGAAGCGTGGCTGGTTGTGGATGGCGTCAGCGTGTCAGTAACGAGGCGATTAGAAAACGGATATTTGGTTTTGCTGAAGGCACCTCAATCCGGGAAAACATCCAGCATCATCGACTGCGATGGCTCGGTCATGTGCTACGCATGCCGAAACACCGTCTACCGAGACGAGTGTTGTTCCCCGTGCCTCCCTCAGGATGGCGAAAACCGCGAGGCGGACAGCACATGACTTGGCAGAAAGGCGTCAAGGAGATCACGAAGAGTTTGGGTGTTGTTGGTGTTTCACGCCTTTCAGGACGGGGTCTCCATGACCCCGTCTGTGTTTGGCTGGAGATGTTGCAAGCAATGGCGGCTATTCGATGTCAGTGATGTTCGTGCTGTCAGTTTCTTTTCAGGTTGTCTGATTGAGTGGCTGGATGTGTAGGCACCTCAGAATACTTGACATAGGCTAGCACTAGGTCCCTTCCACTCCCCCACTTTTTTCTCTTATTTTCACTATAGGGCTTTGAATATAATTATATATATATATAGCTAGACGAACCTTATGGTTGTACGGCAGTGAAGCATCAGTGCCAACACTGATGTTGCTGTCTTTGATGATGATGACGATCCAAACCCTCGTGCTTCCTTCGGGTGGCGTGGCAGCTAGACACAGAAAGGGTGTTACAGCTGAACGATTTATTTTACTTTTGGGTTGGATTCCTGAGTCAATGGCTCAAGGTGGAGTACCTCAACCAAACTCCGTTCCTCAGCCTGAGTGAGACGTTTAGAAAGAGTCCGAGAACGAGTTAGAACAGAGTCCAGGTTTTCGAGGATAAGCAACGTTTTACTTGTCTAAGAACAAGCGTACATGAGCTGAAATGTACATACAAAAGTTCAGTACGAGTATATATGGTAAGTATAAGAATAAGCACACAAAAATCATGACATTCACCCCGACAGTGTTTGAACAGGCACATATGAGCTGACGTAGACAGGAAGTGATGTACTGAATCAAGCTTCTCTGTTCCTCAAACTGTAAGGATGAATGCGTCGCTGTTGTTCTAGAATCAAAGGATAACTCGGTTGGTGTTCGGAAGACGGTACAGAAGAAGATTCCGATGCTTGAGAGCTATCGGGCTGGCGTCCGGTTAGTTCAGTCGTATCTGGGTGTTCGGTATCCTCGTTGGATTCAGACAGATTGAGAACATTGTCAGTTGTACTCTGAACAGCTGGGGCTAGACGGCGAAGGGACACGGTTTCGACTCTTCCGTCTCGATGAGCAATGTGTGCGTAGTGTGGGTTGCAGTTCAGAAGGTCAACTTCTTCTACTAGTGGTTGGTACTTGGATGACCTATCACCTCGTTGCAGCAGAACTGGACCAGGGGTGGTCAACCAAGATGGCAACGATATTCCAAATGTTGATCGACGTGCGTATTGGAACAAACGTTCGTGTGGAGTACAATTAGTGACTGTACATAACAATGATCGGAGGCTGTGTAGAGCATCAGGGAGTACTGATTCCCAACGGGAAGGCGGGAGATTGTGAGATTTCAGCGCTAAGCTTATTGTTTTCCAGAGAGTACCGTTGAGACGCTCAACTTGACCGTTACACTGTGGATTATAAGCTGATGTATGACTCATAGCAACACCTTTCTCCAGAAGAAAGCTATTGATCTCAGACGACATGAACGATGAGCCTCTGTCGGAATGGATATAGGCTGGCATTCCGAACAGACAGAAGATCTGTGTGAGACAGTCAATCACAGTTGCCGAGGTCATATCCGCACACGCAAATGCAAATGGGAATCTAGAGAACTCGTCAATTATAGTGAGTAAGTAGCGGTTGCGTGTATTAGATGGCAAAGGACCTTTAAAATCCAAACTCAGACGTTCAAAAGGTTGTGTTGCTTTAATGAGTCTACCAGAGGATTTCCAGAATCTTGGCTTTAGTTCAGCACACACTTTGCAGGAGGAAATGACGCGCTTGACATCGTCGACGGAGTAGGAGAGATTCTTGCAACGCACAAAATGAAACATACGGGTAATGCCTGGATGGCAGAGGGAGTTATGGAGCTCTCCGAGTTGGTTATTGCTCCCCATGGAAGCACATACGTTTCGTGACAGGGTGTCTGCGACATGATTGTCCTTGCCAGGTCGGTATATGACATCATATTTGTACTCGGACAACTCAATCCTCCATCGTTGTATCTTGTCGTTTTTCACTTTACTCTTCTGTCCACCGCCGTACATGAATGTGACTGAACGCTGATCGGTGGTCAGTTTGAAGGGTCTTCCGAGTAGATAGTGCCGCCATTTCCTGATGGATTCAACGATAGCGTAGGCCTCCTTCTCGATGGCAGAATGATTCTTCTCGCTCGGATTGAGTGTCCTCGAGAAAAAAAGCTACCGGCCGATGGTTTTGGCTTAGGGATGCGGCTATAGCCACATCGGAGGCATCCGTTTCAACAACCAAAGGCTCGTTATAATCTATTGTAATTAGTGTAGCATTTTCTAGTTCGTTCTTTAGGTTGTCGAAGGCCAACTCGACGTCGGCAGGTAGGGGGAAAGTTTTATTCTTTACCAGTTTGTTGATTTTGTCGGAAAATGAGGTTATCCAATGAGCGTAATATGCAAACATACCGATGACACGTTGCATTTCCGTGGTAGTACGCGGAAGAGGTAACTGACGAATGGGTTCCATGCGTTCAGGGTCTGGTCTAATGACACCATTTGAAACCTCATAACCTAGGAGGCGGATGACTTTTGAAGAAGTGACTGTTTTGTCATCATTAAGACTGATCCCATACTTCCTCGTAGCTCTCAAAAATGATTGGAGATTGAGATCGTGTTCCTCTTGGGTCTTGCCACAAATAGTGACATTGTCTATGTAGGCATACGTGCTTTTCAGCTTTTCAGTCGTAATGATATTGTTAATAGTTCGCTGAAAACAAGCAACACCGTTTGTGACACTGAAGGGTATGCGACGAAACTGAAACAGGC